TTCCGTCCGTGTTTTCACTTCAGTAAATCAGTTTTGGTGAATACAAACTACGTGATTGTTTTTCATGAGTCCAACATCCTGCCGCGCAAGAGATGTGATCAGTAAGGGAAGTCGTCTTTCACTATTGTAATGTTGTTAAATAGACATTTTATATTTAAGTAACTAATAGCATAATTCTTAACCTTGGACCTTATTCTTGAAACACAAATTGACCAATAAAAAGGTGTCAAAGCACCAAAAGCAGCCCATATTAAATCTATAAGCTGTCTTTAACTGAGAAATACGCATTTTCATGCATACTATGTGTGTGTATATGGTTAAATTAACCGGACTGTCCTCTCCAACTCAGCATTTCTCTTCACTAAATTTATGGGTCTCTATCAGAGTTTTTCAGACAGACCAATTACATAAGTGCCCTATGCACAGTGTAATCAAAACGTCCGGGAGATGGTTCTGAGATGCTTCTGCAACAGTGCAGCAGCAAAAACAAACACCCAAGTCAAGTCCACTTAAGTGAAACTACTTCCTAGGGGCAGCTCAGCGTGAAATTGTTGACTATTTTTTACAGTTTGTAGAAAGGTAATTATTGTGTGTGCGCTTTGGTTGTTGTTGAAGGGTGGGCAACACTGCTAGCTTCCCTTTCTGTGCACAGCTGGGTGCCTCTCTGCCTCTGACCTAGTTTTGTCCATCCCAGCTAGCAGTGCAGATTACAGCATCACTTCAAAAGTGTGCAGCCATCTCTCCATCTCATGTCTCCACCCTTCAGTCCATCTCATTCTCTCTCTCTGTCTGTTCCCGCAGAGCTCCAGCACTGGGCAGCAAGATCAGTGAGGGCGATGGCTGCATGTCTCTATTTGCCAAATGCATGGCAGGTGCATCTTAATCAAGAAAATGTTCAGTATTTTCTCAAGCATTGCAGCATGCTTGCACCAGCCAGCAAAATTAACTGCTAAACATGCAAAATCATGCTTATGCGTTTAAAATGATAGTTCACCCAAAAATGTCTGTCATTAAATGCAATTTCAAACCTGTATGAATTTGTTTCTTCAGTGAAACATAACAGGTGAACATTTTAAGAATATTCTGGCCACTCTTTTCACTGTGATGAAAGTAAATGGGGACCATGGCTGTCCAGCTCCAAAATTCCCCCCAAAAGTACCATAAGCGTATCATAAATGTGGTCCATACAACTCTTGCACTATGTCTTCTGAAGCCAATAGCTTTGTTTGAGGGAGATACTGAATTTAAGTGGTTATTCAATATTATTCTTCACTCCATTGATCTGATATCCAGCAGGACTGGATCACTGAGTTAGTGAGAACGAGAATGATCTGATTCTTGAGAAAATCAATTGATTCTTTGAATTTAAAACAATGATTTGTTCACAATTTGTACATCACTGTTCCATGAAAGCATCAAAGTGAGTTAGGGCAGAGACTTTCCATGAATAATGACTAATTCATAAATAATTAAATGTTGGTTTGTTATATGAAAAAAAAATTGGTGTAGGGATTACTTTGAAGCAATTTTGCTAATAAAATTAGCAAATAATTACAAAGAAGTAGCAAAAGGTGTTAAAGGTTCTTCATGGAACCACTGATGCCAATAAAGAACCTTTATTTTTAAGAGTGTAAAGGAAAAAAAATTGTTCAGAACATTATTATTAGGATAATAATATCAGGAATATTCTCAAAGAGAATTTAAATAATATGTATTACTACAAGGAAGACTAAAAGCCTCATTTATAACAGTGCTGTGGTGATTTGCCCGTGTCACACCTGCTCCGACAGCAGAGATGTCCTTGATCTAACCAAGAGACGCAACCGTCCCATCTGCCATGTGGTCAGCACAGACACCACAAGAGTTCTGATCACACCTCACTTGAACTGAATCTGCACGTTAAATGAACCAAGTGGCAGAGCAGTCAATGTGTTTGGGCAGCTGACATGAAATAATGGTCATGCTGCCAGATGAAGTTGCTGCTGATAATAGCATGATCCACTTAGCATATGAAAATATTCACTCTCCAAAAAGGATGGTTGGTATTTACGTGAATGTGTTGTACAGATGCTCGCACGAAGAGGAAAATGTCAGTCTGGTGATATACATCCACCTCAAAATGTGTGCGGATGCAGATAGATGTGAGGCACAGCCATCATAAACTATTCAACTGGCTTCAATATAGAGAATATAAGATGTATAAACACCATGAACTCAGCTTGCGTGTGTGTGCAAGACACATTTTTGTGATCTCCAGCCGCTGCACACAGGAAGTTAGTCATCTGTTGCCATGGTGCATCAGGGAGTTCAGGACTGCAGTGCACTCTGCATAGGATCTGGCCTACCAGACCAGAGAGACACTGTCTTGCTGTCTTCAAGACTTGTTGAATCTGATTTAATGTATCTATCATATCCCCGGACGTTCCTGAGATATGATTGGGCGACAATGGTTCTTCTAATAAAATTAAAGTGAACTCTAATGCTCACATCCCCCCTTGTGGAAACCCTCTGACAACATATCATCTGAAATATGACTCTATTACTACATACTGTAATATAATTCATTGACAATATTGATTAAATGAATAATGCATTATGACTTCTGAATTAACTAAGCTAAATTATGAAGCAGTCTTTATAAGAAGCAATGTTCAGAAATATTTTTCTACATGAAAAGAGAAATGCAGTTTGAAACAAGCCAATCCTCCTCTATTCTGAAGCTATAAATGACTAACAGTGAGAAACTGAAGCAAGTAACAGGCTGTTGTCTGACAAGAGGAACACACACTTCATTGCACGGTCTGTAAATGGAATCAAGATTTACCTAATGTTCCATGGGTCTCCTTAATTGCCATGGTTAATTAGATTATGATAGGCATAACTGGACAGAAAGCACTCTGGTTCTGTCTGACGGTGGGATCTACTTTCAGAATAATACTTCTTAACAATAAGTCTTATTAAGGGGGGACTGTCTTTCAGTAGATTCTGCATGCATATTTTAAGTTTGCAAAAGCAACCCCCTCCGCCTAGACTTTGTTTTAATTCACTTTTTTGGCTTTTATTTTACAGATTTTACAGGCGGCATCTACGACCTGAGGAGTAGCCTATGAAATTCAGTTCTGGGGGGAAAAAAATAAAAAAAATTGGGTGGACCTAGAAATTTGAATAATGTTTGTCAGCTTTACTGGAATGTAGTTTTGTAAATCTGTTCAAAACTAGTAAGGAGGACTAAATTAATCTCCTCAGTTCTGTTTGTACATCCCTTGCTGTATATTTCTGTTCAGATATTTGCACTCTGTGACCATATTATTAATACCCTCCTTTAGAATTCACCTTTTTCTAAAATCTAATAACATTGCCTCAGATACGTGTTTATGATATGCACAGAAAGGCACTGACAAAAACCTATGGCAGAATACCAACCGACCGTTACATATCGATGAAACGAACCTTTCCTCCAAAAAGAGCCACAACGTTCACTGCTATAAAGCCATGTGGAAATACCAACCGCAAATGTCATTTCGTGATCTTTAAATATTAGACCAATGAAAGACTACATACATAATCGATACGACGGCGACAGTACCGTTGGGCTGAAGGCAGGCGGCATGTTCAGCAGAGATGGGCGTGGGGGAGGAAGTGAGAATGACCGTTACGTTTCAAACGTTAAAGTCAAGATTTTCGAATTTATAATTGTTATTTTCAAAAAGAAATTGTACTTACGAAGCGAACAATGGGCGAGGATGATGAGAGGGTGGACGAGCAACAGCCGTGATGAGAGAGAGAGAGAGAGAGAGAGAGAGAGA